AAAAGCTCAGCAGGTCTGGCAGCATCTGTGAAGGAAAAAACGGAGTTCACGTTTCGGGTGTGGTGACCCTTCCTCAGAACAGTTCTGGACCCGAAACATTAACTCTGTTTTTTCCTTCACAGATGCTGCCAGACCTGCTGAGCTTTTCCAGCAACTTTGTTTTTGTTGTATGTTATAAACTCTGATAGTGCCCCCATCTTAGCGCTTTCGGACAGTATAGACGCATCAACCCTATTCACAAAGGGTGCATTACCAGCTGTAAGAGCAGGTAACTACAGGCCTCTGTTCAGAAGACATTTCGGAAATCCAAAATATAATTTATGCCAATTGACTTTTTGAATTTTGTTTGCATTCCCTGACATGGAAAGTAGCACATTTGCTTCCTTGCATATTTGGCAAATAACTGTACCGTTTCTGTAAGCTGCAGTTTGTTAGCTTATTCCTGCATTACATTGGTGGCACTTGGAATATTTGATCTTTATGACAATACCAGAACCTTTTGTTTCTCAGGTGAGTAAAGCCTGGAAAGTTATTGCAGAAGATGAAGTGCTTTGGTACAAGCATTGCTTGAAAGCAGGCTACCAGGCAAAGGCAGACATTGGCGACTTCATATGCTGGAAGGCTGTAATGAGAGATTCCATGAAGAAGGAACAAACATTACAAGCCAACTGGAAGGTACATCTCATAAGCCATATTAGTTGTGTTCTACAGCAGTACTATAGACATTAGCAGCTAAATTGATATTTCTGCATAAAAGTTTGAAATACACTGTCATACTTCAGTTGATTGTCTTTCAGAAATCAAAGTCTTTTTCATCATCAAAAAAAGAAGCCCAGCATTTCTCATCTACAGTAAAGAATTTTTAATTAACTTGGAGTACTGTGAGGCTTTATTGGCCACTGTAAGGCAGAACAATTAAGAACACACCAGGTTTCATGCCTCTGCATTTTGGCTACAAATAACACATTGTATGTACAGTACAATGCTTTTGTTCTTTAAAAATAGCATATCTTCCTTTCATCTGTATATAGAACTGGAGAAGTTTCGAACTGTGCTGAGTTAACTTACTTCAACAGGGGTAATGATGTGGGTGCTATAGCCTCAGCATTCCTTGCATGATCACGATCCAGGGATCTGTAGTGAAAATGCATATGTGTAAATAGTGGCTATTATTTCCCAACAAACTCATTACTCATGCATACGCTTGAAGATTCAGTCTTTGCATGAAGTATCCGGCAAACAGACCGCTAAAGAAGTGAGATTGATAAATAAAGAGGCTAGTTATAGAATGTCAGATTTCCTGTTATTAATTTTGTATATTTGTTTAAAAATGGGCAAATCATGATCATTTTATATGTTTCACAATTTTTCTGTCATCCGTTTTCCCACTCTGCTCTCCCTACTGTTGGCATTGAGCTGGCACTAAGCTAATGACTCAGCTATACTTAGCTCAAATGATCTCTATGCATGTGTGCTTAATCTTGACGGTGACTTGAATAGCTGTACCATCACAGTATCTCGATTGTTCAAGTTTTCAGCAGTTATTGGTTTACAATCAAGTACGAGCCTTCTTTAATTCTCCAATCGCTGGTAAGTGGTGCTAGTGCAAACTGTATCGATTTCGCTGCTGCCTTGACTGAGATTAGCTAACTCCACACAAGGCAGGGTTCAAATTTGGAATATTTGTAATTTCTATGTCTTTGCTACACACGAGATGAGTGTGCTAAGCCATTATGAGAGTTCTCTTAATTACTGATGAACTAAATGTTCTTTTTTGCAACTCATTATAGCAGCACATTAAAACTTTGGTTCTCTCTTTTTTTTTAAAAAAGGAGAATTAGTAAAAGTTAGTTAGTTTCTTTTCAGGGTGTTGTAAATCTGGGAGTCATAGTTTTTTTTTTTGTTTAGAGACTATCATTGACCTAATATTAAACAAACCAAAAACTGAAGAACTACAGATGCTGGAAATCAGAAACAAGAACAGAAATTGCTGGAAAAACATAGCAGGCCTGACAGCATTTGTAAAGAGTAAGCAGTATTAATGTTTTAGGTCCAGGGACCCTTCTTCAGAACTGCTCTGAAGAAGGTCATTGGACCTGAAACAGTAACTCTGTTTTCTCCTTACAATTGCTGCCAGGCCTGCTATGTTTTTACTGCAATTTCTGTTTTTGGTGCTAATATTAAACATTGATGACACATCTGAGACCTCCCTCTGCAGAGTTTTCTGTGTGTCTCAATCTGAGGGAATCAAATTAGATTAAGTGGATAATTCATTGATCTGAGGATTCCAGCAGTCTCGTACCTTCTTTTGTGTATATCACTCAGACTACTGGATTCATCGCAAAACCTTCTCCGACTAGTTTACTCAGGATGTCATTAGTGATGTTTAAAGATAACTATTAAAAACATCTGCCATGGCATCAAAACTCAAAAAGGCTGACGTTATTAACTGGTCACAATATATACATTTTCGGAAGGGTAATGTTTCTTTTTTAAATTAAGTTTTTCCTCCCTTAGCTGAAGGCACTAACTGTTACAAAGAATTGGATCCTAGTATGACAGCTGTCCTTCAGCACCCCACTCATGGAATTTGAGCGTCGCTGTCTGTGCCAGCATTTATGTTCCAACCCCAGTTATGTTGAGATGTTAGTGGTGAGGTACGTTCTTGAACTGCTGCAATCTATCTGCTATAGGTAGACCAACAATGCCATTAGGGAAAGAGTTCCAGCATTTTGATCCAGTGCCACTGAAGGAATGGCAAAATACTTCCAAGTCTGAATGGTGTGTTGTTTGGAAGGGAAATTACAGTTGTTGGCATTCCCATGTATCTGCCAAATTACCTACTTCTGCTTCTACATCTTTTGGTCTTATGATATTATGGTAAGCTTCTTGAGTGTTGCCGGAACTGCACTCATCCAGGCACGTGGGGACTATTCTGTTCCACTCCTGACTTGTGCCTTGTGAATGGTGGACAGGCTTTGCAGAGTCAGGAGGTGCCTATTGGTAAATATATTGTGTAGAATGACAAAGTTATCTAGTCAAATTCTAATCATGAAAATCTTTCATGTATATATGGTTAAATGTAAATTTTTTGTGCTTATTTTCTCTGTTTTGCTACTTTAGAGGTAAGTTGCAGATCTGTTTCCAGATCACTATGACGATTACTTGTTTTCGGGTGACTAAAGTATTTATCATGTACCCCAAGATGACTGTTTCTCGAATTTTCCTTCCCTTGTGCCCTACCCCCTCTATTGCTGGATGAACCATTCTGCCTCTGTTTGGCACTCCTGCATGTTGATGGATCTGCATTAAGAAATTTTCAATACTTAAAATAATTAATCATAGCTTGTCTGTCCTAACAATTTGTAACTGTAATCTGTTTTATTTTGGAGCCACTACATTTGTCATGCTCCTTTAAATTTAATGATCTACCTAGCCAGTTGGAAATAAAGTTGGAAGGGTGACCTCACTGACACCAATACATGTGAGGAGCTTTCATAATGGCTGTTGATTCATGTAACAAAACAAAAACAGCATTTACCTAAGGGTGAATTGAACACCTCCACAAAATAGCATGTACATTATATTTACAGCACATAGCTTACCCCTAGGCATTTTCAGTTTGTCTATGCTGTAATATGTATTTGCATAGTGGAGGTTATAATACAAGTTAAGGGATAAAATGCTGGGATGTATAATAAACCTATTACAGTAGAATATAATGACATTGGTTTGAATTACTATGTAATTATTAATTTCATGGTCACTAACTGTCTATAAATTTCCCAGTCCTTTTTATGAGGGGCTGTTAATTTTTTGCATGCATTCTTGAAAATATATGTAAAATGATCAATTTTCATAATGTACATTTATAGATGTACATTGCTTATAAAATAAAGGAATATTTGATTAAAGTGTATTCCAAAAATACTTAGTGTAAGGCTTGATTATTGTATTTTTGGGGAAGTAAGAAAAAGAGTATTCTTCCTCAAATAAAAACCACTTTAATGCCGAATAAGCCATCCTTCTGTAATTCACCTCTTTTCGGAGGTTATTGGAGGGAGGGAGGGAGGGATTAGAGTATCGAGCTAGATGGCCAAACAAGATCATAATGAATGGCCTATTCCTGCTCCTATCTTCAATGTTTCTATATACTTCAGTTTCAGGAATATACAGTATGTATGAAATTGCAGTTTGCTCTTGACCCCACTTTATAAATTTGATCATTAAATTGCCTAGGATATAGATCAGCAACTTGAATAAAGCACTGTGTAGTTTTAAAATTGAGGTCCTACTGTGAAACCTTGAATATCTTTGTAATGGGTGAGTGAGGAGAGAGGAACATCTAAGCTGTTTGGCTTCTGCTGGCAAAACAGAAGATATAAACTATAGATATAAACTATTACATTTCTAATTTGGAATAAAATATGATTTTCTATTCTAGCAGAGAATCTATTGAATGTTCATTACAAATGTCATTCGATAAGACAATTTCAAAGTAATTTTTAGAATATAGTTGTAAACGGGTCTGTCAGAAATTTGTCTGCATGGATTTTCACTGTATTCTAACCTGTGTTCCTAACAAATCTCATTTTTGCCTTGACATTAACATGTGCAAATTAGTGACCACATTTGCTTATATATGCATATATAACACAACTGAAAGTAATTAATTGGTCAAGAAGCACTTTGGGGAACTGAGGATATAAAATACACTGTACGAATGTAACTGTTTTCTCTGTTCATCAAGTTATCATCATTTTTATCTGCCAATCTGTTATATACTGTATTCTAAGCCCTGTATAGTGTGTAATAATCATTTCAAAACTTCAATTTTAAATTATAGAACATTTCAGACTAAGTGTCACAGGATACCACAACTTCAGTTAAGGCAGTGCTGTTAGAATTTGGATGCAGAACAAATGCAGCTCCTTGGTTCTAAAGGTCTCTAGGTGACTTATACAGGCAAGGCAGTGTTTTTTCACAGATTTGAAATATGACATCTTATCAAACCCAACTTCCCCAAGATACATATTAAATTACTACCATAAGCTCTTTATTTTACAATTAAGGTACACATAATACTCTGGCAGATCATAAATCTTGAGTAACAGACTGCACATCAGGTGTATTAGGAAACCAAGCTAAGAGAAAATGCTGCAAATCTTTCTTGATTCTGGAATTTTATTTAGTTAACACTCCATTTTGTTTAAAATAATAAAATGCCTCAGTGTTGGCAATTTTTCTGCAGTATTATGTTTTCACTTTGGACCAATCCATGATACAAAATGTACACTCAGATGTTTACAAAGATTTTCACTAATCTCGACTTCTTAGCTGTCTGTCAAGAAAAGTAATCATTGAAGAAACTTTGAAATAGGTCATCTGTTATAACAGTATCTTGAATAATTAAAAACAATCAACAGTGAATAGGTTCCAAAAACATATTAACAATTGCATCACCGATGTTAAAGATTGTGAAATGTGGGGAAAAAAAGACTCTCATAAAATGATGTTCTTCCCTTTGATGGACTGTTTACAAACCATGGGTGGACATAATCAGTGAATGCCCTGTGGACATGTACTAATTATTTTCAGCACCTGTGTGAACTTTGCATCTGCCATTTGTCAGGCAGGCCTTCTACCCAGAGTGATTCATCTGTCTTTGAAATATATTTCATTTTGAGGTGCCATGTACCAGCAAATTAAAATGGTCACAAAGGTTTCTAAAAATTAAGGTTCCATCAAAAACATTAAATATTGTATTTTCTGTTTTGAAAAGAGACAGATCTCTAATAACAAATTCTGTACAATAACTTCATTGCATAGGAAAATGATCTAATGTTACTGATTCGGTTTTTATTATCTTCAGTTCTTGCTCGCATTTTACCTGTCAACCAGTTTCCCAGCTACAATGACCTTAACAGAATTTTAAAAGTTGTGCTTCTGTACACAATCTCTCATACTCCCTCTTCATTTTGTTTTCTATAAAGCATTAGCATGAATCATAACAGCAGTAGATTGAATATCCATCATTATACTTATGGTAGTATACATTTGTAAGGAGTTCTTTAGTTTGTTTCGGGTGTTAAAACATTTTCGGTATGTTTCATGACATTTTTGTAAAAAAAAAAGTTTCAATAATGATGATTCTTGCATATACCTTGCAACTTTTTAAGTCTAAGTTCAAGTTGGACAACTAAGTCACTGTATTTTATTGCTAGTAATTTGTCCTGCAGCAGATTTTCATAGGCCTCATTGATTTACAATGTGGTGAAACATCTGATCTGGGTGACCAAAGTTGTATGTTGTCTGTCTTTGAAATTCCACTTCTGGAGGAGATGTAATGGCCAAGTATGGAAAGTGAACACTCTGTTCAATGTAGACCACAGTCTTTGAGGGAGTTTGAACCCTAGATGCCCCACTATCTCATTTTTGTCTGATTTTTGTCAATGCTGGTGTCAGCCCAGAGCTTGCACATTTGTCTTTTCTTGTTAAAACCTATGTCTGTCAAAGCATTTGCAGAGCTCCAGAAGTAATTTAGGGGATTTGAGTTGCGTTTTCAGAGGGTTTTCAAGATTGATGGTTCTGGGTTGACTTCGATACGATCAAATTCTTGCAGGGTTTTAGTCCTGCACAGCAGGAAGTGGAATATTAGACAAGACAGCGAGCCATTGCACAGATGTTGACTTCAATATGCCATATTCTCATTGATATGTTGAGGCTGAGGAATATCCATATATTTTGTATGGCAGCTCTCTGCCCACAGCTGGGAGCAGTATTCTGCTGAAGACTAGCAGTACAATGAGTCTGCACATTGGAACACAGTTCATGCCTGCTTTTTTCTGAGTGATAGTCTTGGTCTTTTACCATGTTTTCATGTGTATTCCTTTGATCTTGAAACCTTGAAGATGCTTCACCTGCTCAAAATCCAATTTTCCAAAGCATCAGCAAATGCTGTTATTAACAAAGAACAAGAGTAGGCCACTCAGCTCTTAAAGCCTGCTCTGCCATTCAAAAAGATCATGACTGATCTGATTATGACTTCAACTCTACATTCCTACCAGCCCCTGATAATCTTTCATCCTCCTGGTAATCAAGGATCTATCTATCTCTGCATTAAAAATATTTAAACATTCTACATCCACTTTCTTTTGAGGAAAAGGAATTCCAAAGGTTCACCCTCCGAGAGAATTTTTTTTTCCTCATCTGTGTTAAATGGGTGACTGTCTTATTTTTAAACTGTGACCCCTACTTGTACATTCCATCACAAGAGGAAATGTTCTTTCAACACTCAGCCAGTCAAGTCCCTCAAGATCTTATGCATTTCAATTAAGTCACCTCTGACTCTTCTAGACTCCAGAAGATACAGACTTAGCCTGCCTTGACTTTCCTCATAAGGCAATCCACTCATTTTCATGTATTAGTCTAATAAACCATCTCCCAATTGCTTCCAGCACATCAAGTAGACAGTACTCCAGAAGTGGTTTCACTAATGTCATGTATAATTGAAGCATAGCCTCTCTACTCGTGCATTAAATTTCCCTCACAATAAAGTGTAACATTCTATTAGCTTTCATGATTACTTGCTGTACCTGCATACTAACCTTATGTGATTCATACTGTGGGGTGCATAGATCACTTTGTATCTCAGAGCTCTGTAAGTTCTCACCATTTAGATAAGTTTTTTTATTTCTTACATTTATTTAGAATAAAAATATACTTAATTTATTTATTCTAAAACCAGCAGACAGTCATGGAACAGCAATAGAGTTCCAGGTCAGAATGGTGTGTGGCTTAAAGGGCAGCTTGCAGGTTGTAGTGTTCTATGCATATGAAGCCTTTATTCTTCTAGAAGTAATGGGCTGTGAAGTTATGAAGCTGCTGTTGAAGGAGCTTATGAGTTATTGTAAGGCATCTTCTAGATGATGCACATTGTTGCCACTGTGTTTTGGTGGTGGAGGGAGTAAAAGTTTAAGTTAGTCGATGGGGTGCTGATTGAACAGACTGTTTTGTCCTGTGTGGAGTTGGCTTCTTGAGTGTTGTTGGAGGTACACTGATTTAAATTGAAAGTATTGCATCACAATGCTGACTTGCTACTTGTAAATGGAGGATGAGCTTTGGGGAGGCAGAGTTGGATTACATGCCTCAGAATCTCCAATTTCAGATCTACTTTTCTGGCCAATGTATTTAAATGTCTAATTCTATTCAGTTTCTGTCAGTAATAATCCCCAAGATGTTGGTAGCAGGTAATTCAGTAATGATAGTGCCATCGAATATCAAGAGGAGATGGTTAGATTCACTGTTGTTGCAGATACCCAGTACTTATGTCACAGAGCATTATATTGAAACATATTCACTTTATAACCATCTACTTGAAAACATACAACTAGCAACTGCAGTACAATGAATAAACTATCACAAACCAACTGTCAGATTGTTAGGTTTGAATATTTTATCCAATTTTCCACTTATTGGATTTAAAAATTACCTATAATGATAGAGTTTAAGTATAATTTTCTTAAATACCATTGTATATCAAAATTTAGGCTGTATGGCTGAACAATATAATGCGTAACCTAGCAGTCACGCTTGTACCCATTGATTATTGTGTATTAATATTATTTTTGATACGATAATTTTATTTAAAACAAAGTTTCTAGCATTCTTTATTGATTTTGAAGCAAGTTTGTAATTTAGTGCTCCTGTATAGATACTTCCCCTTTTGTAGTGGTGGCCTGCTAATATAATATCAACAGATTACAAGTAATCAATTTATCTGACTTAAAGAATGATACCTCAGAACTGTAGTTTCTCAAATAAAACTACTGGAGCAAAAACAGAAATTGCTGGAGAAACTCAGCAGGTCTGGCAGCATCTATGGAGAGAAAGCTGAGTTAATGTTTCAAATCCAGTGACCCTTCTTCAGAACCGATTATAGCCAGGAAAGGTAGTATAAATGCTGAAGACAGGGGTGGGAGTGAAGTGAAGGAGTAAGCGATAGATAGTGATGGAGCCCAGAGAAAGAGAGACACCACAGCAGTTGGGCAGACAGTGGAATAGGTAATAGTCAGTCTGGGAGAATCAATAGCTGTTAATGGGAACCATTAATAGCTGATAATGGTTTGGTTAAGGTAGCAGCCGTTGTGATGACAAGGCCTGGGATGTGGGCATTGGTAAAGGACATGGGAGAAGGTGCTCAGGCCCTAATGTTAATGAACTTGATATTGAGTTCTGAAGGCTCCAGGGTCCTCAAGCAGAAAATGAAATGCAGTTTTTTTCCAGCTTGCACTGATCTTTGCTGGAGCATCGCAGTAAGCCCAAGTCAGAGATGTTGGCCAAGGAACATGGTGGTGTGTTGAAGTGGCAAAACTGGAAGCTGGCGGGAATTTTTTTGTGGACAGACTACTGGAAGAATGATTTTAGTGGTTTGTACAATCACAATTATCTTAAAATTTTTGCTTTCTTACCTGTTACTACTTAATTCTTGTTAAACACTTTGCTTACAAAGTGCTGATTGTTAGTTTTGGACAGTCTTTGAGGACTCAACAGAAGGGAGTAGAACAAGTATATGCTTTTGAACTATTCTAATTCTTGGAAAATGCAGGAATAGATTCAGAGGAGGTTTACTCATTTCTTACCATGGATTGAACAGACTGGTCATGCTTCCCATTGGAGTTTCGAAATGTTAGGAGTGACTTGCTTGAAATGTACAAGATCCTGAATAGTCTTGACAGGGTGGATGTAGAAAGAATGTCTCCACTTTCGAGTTAGCCCAGAACATAGAACATAGAACATTACAGCGCAGTACAGGCCCTTCGGCCCTCGATGTTGCGCCGACCTGTGAAACCAATCTGAAGCCCATCTAACCTAAACTATTCCATTACCATCCATATGTTTATCCAACGACCATTTAAATGCCCTTAAAGTGGGCGAGTCTACTATTTTTGCAGGCAGGGCATTCCACGCCCTTACTACTCTCTGAGTAAAGAACCTACCTCTGACATCTGTCCTATATCTATCACCCCTCAAT